TTGTTCCCACAGAGGTAGGATTTTCGACACTCACTGGATAGGTGGTTCGAGTTCTGTCGCTCTCTGGAAGACATTTCTAGCGGATGGTTACTCTGATCGGTAGCATTGGACGTTTTCTCTGATCAATTTCAGCAGAATGCTGGAGCGATTCCCACACAAACGGCCAACGGACCGCTCGCGATCTTTTCTTCCACTTCTTTGTTCTATCTGCTTCTCCCTTTGCACACACACTTCTGCACAACCACACTTGGCGAGAGACCGGTAGAGCGACAAAAAGCTTGTCCTCGCGGGGTAGGTTCACCACTGGGGGAGAAATCTGGAGAGAGAAATGCCGCAGCAGTACCTTACCAAACGGGTTACAAACCGCACGAGATATTTTCTTCCCTTTCTTTGATCTATCCTCACCTTTTACACACACACTTACTTGTAGTGCACAGGATGCAGGGGACCAGTCTGGAGCTTACAGCTTGTCCCGGTTGGGGCGATGGCCCGCTGGAGGGAGATACCTGGTAGGGGAAAGCTCCGCTACCCGATGGTAGGTCTATGCCGTATCTCTCCATCCAGCGGGGGAAGATAATCATCACCACCCAATCAAAATGCATGCACTACACGTACGGGGCTAATGACCTTAGCAGTGGACGCGCCCGCAATCACCAATCAATCAATCAAATCAAATCAAATAGTGAAAAATGACCCCTTAGACGCGATGGTGATCGTTGTTATGGTCCCGCTGAACGTTAATTGTGAACTACAGTTGTTGGATGCGATGTGGAACATATCTCTGAGCGACACTAAGCATCAAGAGAAGAATCAGGTTGAAAATTAAATATTCCTCTGCTGGCTAAAAGTAAACCTGGCGTATCCATTAACCTTTTTGATAAATGTATATTCATAGACATCAACTGAATATTTTAAATTATTTATTGTCTATGAGGTTGAAAGTATAAAATTCGAATCAGTAATACTAAAGGCAACTAGTTTAAAGGAATAAATATGTGCAAGGCCGCAATGCGCCACTTGTCAATCCAATGCTCCACGTTTATTCGTGCATCATATTGGCCGCCCCTGGCTCAGATGATTGTAAAGAATACGCACTGGTATGTATTTGCCTTCCTCGCCATAATCACGAAGCATTACAAACAAAATAATTGATCCCACTGTAGCCACAGGACCGGTCACAACAAAATTGGGAAACTGGTACAGTCTGCTTCTTGTGAAAAATTTACAGGATGACTCAAACAAGCCATCAATTGCCGCCTGATCCAAAATGCGTGTTTCTGAGATGACACAAACAAGCCATCTTATTTGCTACTCGTACTAAGCAATTTCATCACATTGAAAACTAGGCACCGACTCAAGGCGTCAACTTATGACACGGCTGTGCCTCTGCCTGGAAGCTCTTAAGGTTGAGTCCAGACGGTCTAAGGATTTTCGACACGAGCTAGAAAGCTAGGTTGAATTCAGCTGCTGTCTAGACGAGACTTCTACCGCCCAGCTGCTCTGATCGGTAGTTTTCCATGTTTTTTTAAACAACATAGTTTTTATTTACAGAAATATGGATACAACTTTTTTCAATCAAAAGTTTTAATAAAATTATTACACCGTGTGGATACTTGGAATCTGGTGCTAGAGTCTTCACTTCTTGTAATTTCTTTGCTGGAATCGAATACGGATTATCGACTGTCCGAATTTTTTTACACCCAAATTGACACTACTGTTAGTAGTAGAAACTACAGGATACGAGACAGGTAGTTCACCAGACATAAATATTGCTAGTTCCAGAATCGACCCAAGAAAGTATTTTCTTTGCGAACTAATGAAAACAATCCTACGTAGTGTGATAATAACTTTTTACGCACGAAAACAATGGTACCTGGTTTATCTGCTGCACTCTTCATATTGGAACCCTCATACCTTAACCTGGTAATATTTTTTATATTCTGACTGTTGGCCTGCACGTTTTTACTGATATCTGGATTATATTCGCACGTTTTCTTGAGCTCTGGAATAAGTTATTCCCTCTCCCAGACGGATTCATTATGAAGCCAAACACATTTCGGGATCAAATTAGAAGGCCCCCAAATAAGAAAATGTTGAACTTAAATTATCAAAATAAATATGAAAGTAAAACGATTACTTCAAAATACTTTGTATTAAAATTATAAATGCAACAGAAATATAATTGGTAAACAATTTTCGTCCACCTCGCTAATCCGAACCCCCACAAATCTGAAATTTCGGATAATCCTAACAAAATCCGAGATGGTGGAAAAATAAACAAAATAAATAAAATGCTTATTTGTGGGTAAAGAAAGGATTTTATAATTACTGTGAAACTTCAGAATGATTATTGAAACACAAGTTGTCGAAATGTTTATTGCAATGGTAACTGCGGTGTGTATCACATGTTTATGTATGAGTAATTTTCACTAAGAGAAACTTGCAAATTCGGTGATATTTTGCTGTACGGTACTGAATCTGCTTCATATGATGTGTTGCAATTGTTACGCAACGTTGTCATTTTTCCCATATTGCATGCTACGTTGCATTGTTTGGCAATCCTATAGATGTATTTGTATATGTACGGAACACCTATTGGGATAATCCGAACATTTCCGAATCCGAACAACCCCCCCCCCCAATTAGTTCGGATTACCGGGGTTCTACTGTATTTATGCGCGCGAAACTTTTAAAAATAAATGTATTGGTAATGATAAAACACCGGAATAAAAAATATTGATTGTTTATGCATTCAATAAAAATAATTAAACATTTTACATACCGGCCCCATGTTATAAATGGGGAGGAGCCCGTTTGGAATGCAGTGTTCCGGTTTATCCGGATGTCAACCCAAACATGTACAAGTACTTGTACACCGGCGGGGGGGGGGGGGTGATGATTAAGGCTAATGCCTAGGTGTCCATGAGTAAAACCCACTGGTAAGAACAAGAAGTGTAGAGATAGCAGGTCACTCAAAGAATATACTGTCGCATATTGTAGATTTACTGCGTGTAAAATATCCTCAAGCCCAAAAGGAACCTCTGAGCTAAATTCAAATCGCTTAATTATTTGCCCACGTGATACTCTCTTTCTCTACTACATGGTGAAAGAAGCATGCAAAATTTGCGTGGTCATGCGAAAGAGCAGGTCTGATTGCCTGAGCCTCGCAACGTTAAATATGGCATCATCGATTGATTGATTGTTTTTTTACAATGCAATGAGCAAACAATGATTTCGAATAAAGGCATTTTTGAGAATAAAATGGAGTGGATGAATATTCGTATAACCGCAGAAATTCATTTCGAATAACCGCAGAAAAGTCAATTATATTTTTGTTCCGTAACTCTAGTGGAAGTTATAATTCGGGAGCTGTCGGTGTGTCTCTTCCACTGGAGCAAGAGAATCGGCGTCGACCCCAGCGAGGAGGAAGCTCTAAGCTCAGGACTGAACTCTGACTTGTGTAGTGGGGTAGTGCATGTAAATGAGTGTGTGTGAATGTGAATGAGTGTGTGTGGTCATAAGGCAAGTGGACAAGGATGAGGAAGAAAAGATCGCGCACGGTTCGTGGTTCATTTGTTTGGATACTGCTCTGAGATTTGCCAGCATTTTGATCAGAGAAATCACAGAAAACTCCCGATCAGAAAATTGGGTGGCTAATATTCTTTTCCAGTTGTATGGTCAGTGTCAAAAATCTGACATCGCCAGGTTTCGAACCCCAAATTTCCTAAGAGCGACAGCTGTTGCATGAGCCATCCCTGCCGGTATGCTAGTTGTTCTTCGGATCTTGTATCGATATTATGTAATGGCACTCGATATTATGTTGTTTTCAGATCACTTTATCAATCCTGAAAGCTTACAGCCTGCGGACTTTCACGGTTACGTCTCATGTTTTGTTCATGTTCACCGATTGTGGGGTTCTATTGAATAATAATACCCCAATGTTTTGTGTTTTCGATACGTTCACAATTAAGTTTCATTACAAATGAGCCATGCTTGGATAGCAAGATAGTAGATATTTATATTATTCTCTATTTTGTTTTGGTTTTAATGTTTAAAATTGTTATAACTTTTTTTAAAATTTGTATTCATTAATTTCATTTTGGTTGCTGTGAAAATCCACTGACGAGGGGATAGCTCCGATTTTTTTGTGCTAATTTAATATTTTGTTAAAATTCAAACGCAATCGTCGTGGTTGATAATCTATTGATTCCCATTCTAATTGATTGATTAATTATTTCGGGTTTTTGAGCACATCCACTGCAATGGTCATTAGTGCCGTAAGTAAAGTTCATGTTTTATCACGGGATGTGGCTGTGATCTTCCCCAGCTGATTGATGAGATTCGGCACCGACCTACATGGCTTGCGGGATTTTCCTCTACCAGGTATCTCCCACCTCCGCAGCGTCGCCCCAGCCAGGACAAGCTCTAGCTCCCGACTGGTCTCCCGGCAGGTGTGGTAGTTTAGTGCATGTGTGTGTATGTGTAAGGCATGGGTTAGGATAGGACAAGGAAGAGGAAGGAAAGATATTGTGCGTTCCGCGGCCCGTTTGTCAGTCTACTGCTCCGGCATTCGCCTGGTATTGACCCGAGAAACCGAATGAGGCTATCGATCTGAGCGGCCGGCAGCGAGAATTCTCCTTCAGACAGCAGGCGGATTCGACCTAGGGAAGTAGGTAGTGACGAAAATCCTTCCACCGTCGGTTCTCGAACTCGAGGACCTCCAGATGAGCGGCACTGTAGTGACATCAGTTAACTCCCTGAGCCACCCCAGCCGATCCCCGTTCTAAACTGAGCAATGGGCTCGAGAAACGCGATCAACAAGGCCAAGCAGGCTGATGACGTAGCGGGCAGGAAGTGGCGCCGAAATCTGTCCATTCCAACGCCACCGCCGACGTCAAAGGTGCACAAGGGGGGCGGGGCTGTGGGAGAAAGGAAGCAGCACGGAGCCCAGGGTGGGGTGGAGTGGGGTGGGGTGGGGTGGCCTGGAGGGAGGAGGGGAAATGAGCCTGCACTTGGTTCCTTCCACGGCAGCTCGGCAGTTCTTCCCTGGCAGCGACGGGCGACCGGAGACGATGAGGTCGACCACGAGGCAAGCGCCCCGACTGTGGTGCCTGTGGATGGCCGCGCTTGCGGCGGGTGAGTATGGCTGCAGAACGCATTGGAGCCGATTTTAATTGTTGTTGGGGCCGATTTTAGTTAATTCTTGGAGCGCTCAAATTACTCGAAAGAAGAAAATTGTTAACTTGAAACAGAAACGCTGTTGCAACAAAAAGATAATCGGATAGACTCTGCTTAATAAGAAAAATACACCAGGACACCACACGGTATTGGTAGTGTATGCAGGTACATTTCTATATAATGAGAAAGAGTGTTGTTAATCCTTCTGAAAAACACATTTTTTTCGGGTTTTGATTTTAAAACAACGCAAATGTAATAGATACTAATTTTTAGATAAGATAGAAGTATAATACAAAGTATATATTATTACAAAAATATTTATGTTTCAGTTGTTTAGATTCTCTTATTCCCACACATGGGGTAATGAGTAATGTTCTCACAGTTTCAGGCGGTTTTAACAGTTTAGTTTAAAGAAGCTGTGGTAATAATAAAATTTCTTTTTGTATCTTTTTGCTCTCATTTTTTGTAATGTAATTCCAGTAATTTTTGTTTCAAATGACTTATTAAGCGCAATTTAGATAATTGTAACTTAAAATTTTAATAGTATTGCTTACTCTAGATAAAGGAATTGTGGTGTGCATGACAAATGACAACACGAAAATCGTCTTTTTTAATTAAGTTTTCTTAGTGAATGAAAAGCTACCACAGTCACAATATTGTAACAGTTAAAATATGAAGGAACAACTGGTGATAACATAGTTTATGTGTTTAAACGCGGTTTGTACCACCTTCATCGAGCAGAAATGCAATCTCGCGCTCGAAACGTCGCCGATGCTCTGATATTACCCACGTCTTTCTTCTTGTTTAACTCGTGAAGAGGTGGTTAACGTATGTGCCGTGGGGTCTGCCCCTACTTCTCGTACTTCTATACAGCGGACACGCAACAGACCCGAGCACCTAGGATTTGAGTCCCGACGGTGGCAAGATTTTTAACACTAGCTACATAGCTAGGTCGAGTTCAGTCTCTGTCTGGAGGACAAGCTGACTGCTTTGATCAGTAGATTTCAATAGTTTCTCCGATCAACACCAGGCGAATGTCGGTGTGTCTAACAAACGAGCCACGGAACGCGCGCGATCTTTCCTTCCTCTTCCTTGTCTTTTCGTCCCCCCTTACGCACACTTACACTCACATGCATTACACTTCCACACATGACGGGAGCTTAAAGCGTGTCCCCGCTGGGGCGGTGCTCAGTTGGTAGGAGATATCTAGTTGGGGAAAACCCCGCATGCTGACGTATAGGACGGCGGTATCCAACTGCGAAAGATTCTCGCCCGTTCCCGCGACAAAAAACATTCAGTACACTTCCAGAAGTAACTACCATCGCCGTACCCGGAAACACTAATCTAGCTAATGTCAAAAATTCTGTTGCAGTCGGGATTCGAACGCTAAGACCTTCCGGTCAGAGGTACTGCAGTGACACTAGCTTATGAAACTCGTAAATCGGTGTGTTTGTTTGGGTGTAGGAATGGATAGGAGGTCTAACTTGACTCAGAACTCTATGAAACAGCATGCTTTTTGATTGATTGATTACTAATGATCCCGGGCACCCCAACTGCTAAGGTCATTAGTCCGGTAAGTGTATTTCCCGCATGTTTTTGCTCGGGAAGAGGCGGTGCTCTTGCCCCGCGTGATGACGAGATCCGGCGCCGACCTACCATCGGCTAGCGGGGTTTTCCTCAACTAGGTGTCTCCCATCAGCGGGGCACCGCCCAAGCCTGGATATGCTCTAAGCTCCCCTCTAGTCTCCCGACAAGTGTGGTAATGTAGTTCATGCACGAGTAAGTGTACGGGTATGTATAAGGAGTGAGAATAGGACGAGGAATGGGAGATAAAGGTCGTACGCGGTTCGTGGTTCGTTTTTAGGATGCATCCACGGCATTCGCTTGGTGTTGATCGGAGAACCCACGGAAAACTACCGATCAGAGCAACCGGCCGCTAGAATTCTCCTCCAGAAAGCGACAAAACTCGACCTAGCTGTCTGTCTCGTGTCGGAGGTCCTGCCACCGAAGGCACTCGAACCCGAGAACCACCCGATCAGAAGCACTGCATAGACATCAGTTGATGTCCTGAGATATCTCTCCCGGTAGCACCATTGTTTCTTGTGGCACTGACGTGCGCATAGGGAGGGGGGCAATTTTCGTTCAATTATATTGTAATGTACACTGCAATCTACCAGTAACCCCCTCCCTCATTGGGTATTCTCCAAGTACCGGTATGGCCTTGATATGAGACTGTTACATAGAATACATGCCATGGAATAATAATTCCGTGATATATGCGGTTTCCCTCAAACAAATCTCTGATGTATTAATTCAAAACCTGAGTGTTTAGTATTTGATGTATAGACCTGATAGTGACAATTTGAACTAATATCCTGTTTTGTAATGCTAGGTAGCAACACAAAATCCTGCTTTGAAATGCTAAATAGCAACCTTTCAGTTCTGTATCAAGCAGATTTGAGACGTAGCACAGAAATTATAGAAGGGAAACAGGTGCACATGCAACTAGCAACACAAGTTACGCTGCAAAACACTTCGCCATCGAGCATAACGTGAAAACGATGCATTTACTCCCTCGAAACCGGCTTTTCACAACACGGAGGGGTTCTCTTAGGGTATCAAACATGTAAAATTTTCGAATGTTGGTTTATAGCATTTGTTCATAAGCTTATTGAATATTATGTCAAACCCCGTCACGGAAACACACCAAAAACACATTTTTTAAATTTTTTCGGAGATAAATTAATTTTATACACCCCCTTCATGAAAACAAGAAAAAAATGAATTTTTAGGGATTAAATTAATTTTACACACGTCACGGAAACACTAAGAGAAATATTTTCGATTTTTTCTGAGAACAAAATAATTTTATATACAAAATTGGGCTCCGAGTTGTGACCTCATACCTTTAGAGCTACTGACATGGTTTCTTGATAAAAGTTTCCAAAATCAATTTATAGACTAGAGAGTAAACTAGAGAATAAAGTTTCTAGTTTTCGTTTTATTTCATTCGTAGAAATGAAAATTCGTATTTTTTATAAAATGCAAAATATAAAATTGTTTGTCTATAAATTGATTTTGGAAACTTTTATCAAAATACGTTCTGAGACAATCAGTAAGAAATATAAAATAATATTGGCTATGTTGATCCATTTTCTTTCATGAATGCAGATGATTCGAATTAGTGCTTAAACCAAATCAATAGTTGTATCATACAAGTTTAAATATTTTTTTAAAATATTTTGTTCAACAAGTTAAATATTTTTTTAACTTTAAAAATCAAGTTTTCTTCATAAAGTAATTAGTCTGAAAGTTTAGTTTTCGTTCATTAACTAACACTATGTGCCTAGTTTATAACAAAGATATAAAGTGAAATATTTTATAGAAGTAGACTTTATAGAAACGGTTCCGCTTACCGACGACAACCAAAAAGTCAGGTTTCGGAAAAATGGCTTAAAAATTGGAGTTCTTCAATTCTTATATTTTGGTTATGTTTTTGACTTTTTTAATGCAATTATCTGCCATCTAGGACCACGCGACACATCCTCCAAGGTCCATTTATATATATCCCGGAGTCATAAACGTGTTTTTATTCATTATGAGGATCAGCTTTTTCAGTTGTATCAATTGATTAAACAAGGTTGTTAACCTTGAGTTATGAACGATGAAGTGACAGTATGAGGATGATGAGGGATGAAGGGACAATTAGAAATACGTCCATGTCTACGGAAGATTCGAATCTGCAGCCTCCTTAGCGCAGGCGATGGCTGCCGCAACAGTCCGCGCCAAGGAGTCCGGCTATGACGTATTTTTATTTTTTAAATTTCACTGTATATTCTCTACTCTCAGTTCAAAAAAATTAACGTGACTCCAACGCAAAGATTTGTAAATATCAAAGCATAAACAAAACCAAATTTCTGAGACACAACGGGCTTTACCATATTAGAAACCACTTAAAAACACAAAAATGGGTTTGTACAATTCTTCGCTATTTTGGAGGTGTAATGTACCTTACAGTAATGTAAAAATGATTTTTTCATCTTCTACAGTAAACCTTACTCAATGCGGAACGTACATAATGCGGAAATCCGTTGTAATCTAATGTGAACATAAATCGCGGTCGGCCAAACATAAATTCTCCAGTATTACGTTGCAAAATGGGAAATCTTCTGTAAGACGGAAAAAATACTGGTTACTTGAGCACGTTATACTGTATGAGGTTTTTTGGAAATTTAGCTTCTCTGAGTATCCTCATTTCATAGCGTGGGTGGCAAAAACAAGAAGAATCTCTAAATATATTATGTAAAAGTAAATAAAAAAGAAAGAGAAAAACCATCTTCCACAATAAAATCGAAGTCTCTTAATTTCTGCACAATTTAATCTCAACGTTCAGCAATATCAGCAAATGTACTCAAACACAATTCTAGAATGCTCTAACGCACAGTTCAGAGGCAGGCCGCTCAAAGTTGGCATCCAACATGAAATTATTTCTTTTCTTTTAAAACAATTATTTATGAACTGAGGAATGTTCGCGCATGTTAACACGCTTTATAATTGATAATAGTAAGCCATGAATTATTAGAACATTTGTATTTTAATAATAATTATTAAAAAAAACTAATCCCATTGAGTTTTTCTGTATATTTCATTAAAGTGGCTAATTCCACCGCAGTTACCACACAAAGCCAGATTTCACTTTCTCGCCTTCGTAAGAAGAGCATTGTAACCGTGCTCCACAAAATGGCGATTTTTAGACAGAAACCGTGTTATTGTCGGATCCTGGTAACAGGAAAGGTGATAAAGATTGCCCTTATATGTAGTAAATGTCTCCCTCTAACACGTTGAATAGTCAGAATCCGTGTTTTATGGGTACTTGATATCGATTGACGTCAAAACGTTTCTCTGACCGCCTGTTTGTCTATGGCCAACGGTAGTGCCTGAACCGTTCAGAAGACTTTCTCTAAAATTGATATTCCCCGATTGATTTGAATGAACTCGAGGCCATGCGATTTTTAAACACATATTTTGATTTTTGTGGCTACTTTACTTTGTTCTCGGAAAGCGTAAAGAAGACTTAAAACAATGGGTATAATTTTCCTTGAAGTACTTGTTTTTTCGAAAATTGCAAATGTCCAAAATTTGTTTAGGTTCTTCCTACAATTACAACATTGAAGATTACATGTTTTCTTTTTTAAAAATTTTATTGTTAAAGAATACATACAAATTTTCGAACACAGTTTTTCGAATATAGGCAACATTGCAACAATTATATTCTCAATAACGGCTCCAAATATTTTCTTTAAATCTCCCTCACATATCGCAAGTACGACACAAAAAGATGATGTTGGTACCGATTTGGAAATCTGTGTATTTTCGAAATTTGCAAAAATACAATATTGAAAATAGAGATTTTTGTTTTAAATGAAATCTGTTTTAAAAAATCAGGTCTCTAAAAAGGGGCATGTACATTTTTAATGAGTATATTATTCTCATAATTTAAAACACTGCTTCAATTTTTTTTAACTTTTTTGCCCACGAATGCAGCGAGGGACTTTTCGAGTAAAGACGCAGGTCTCATTTTCATGAAACTGTCTAAATTTTCGGAAATTGTAAAAGTCAGAAATAATGCGAGAAAGTATGTTCTGATGTAGCAACACCACTCTGCATCTTTTGTACGTGTTGCCTGCATCTGTTGCAGGAGTACTACGAGTCTCAGCTCAGGAAGAACCAGCTGACGCAGGTCCTAGCCTGCAAAGAGCTCAACGGCAGTGGAACGATTGGATGTTGGAGAAATTCTACTTCAAGGACGATGACGAAAGTGACTACGACAGCAGCGACGACAGCGACGAAGACGACGACGGTCGCTGGGGAGATGGGGATGCAGTTGTGAGTTGAAAAAAAACTTCGCCTGAAGAGCTATCCAGAGATTGCGCGGCGGCGGATATTCAGGATATTCAGGGAGGAAACAACGAAACGAAAATAACACTTGAAGTCAGTTTTAAGCATACTTTGTTTAATAAACTCCTTCGAGATTTCGAATGGCTGATCTGCAATAAGCACTCAAAAGTTGATTTGAAAAAAGGCTTTCTATGCAAAAATTTGCATTTTAGAAGGCTGGCCTGGAACTAAAGTGGTCTATGAAAAGTTTGGCTAAAATTAAGGTTATGGTAAATTTGTTCTGAATACGTGAGCATCTATATATTCAAATATGGTCTATGTGTCATTTGCCATTGTAGGTGCCGCATAATAAAAATACAATCAGAGAATAATATATAAGTTGGGTTTTTGTTTGTTCCTGAACCACGAATTGACCACTTTTCTCACACCCCCAATCATCCTATACAGTATTCGGCAAACATACAAATGTATTAATAAATAAATGCACATTTATAGTTAACAATTTATTAATGTTGAAAAATGAATTAACGAAACCATAGTTAATGAGAGAATGCAAACATAAATAATCAATAAATGAAAGCAAACATAACAAATGAATGAATGAGTTAATTAATTATGAAAGCTTGAATAATTAATAAATGAAAGCTTGGAATTAAGAATAAATGAGAAATTGTAGATGATGACTAAATACAAGAAATCGTGGATAACTAGTGAACTTAAGCATGAACGATTAACAAATTAAAGTATGGACAATGAATGAAAGAAAGCGTGTATAATTTATTAATAAAAAAATATTGAAGCCAAATGAATTGATAAGTAATGAATGATTAAAACCATAGAAAAGAAGTTAATAAGCGAATAAAACCAAGAACAACGCATGCGTGCGTGAAATCAAATACTATAGAGACAATGCATGACACATGGCGATATAACGGGAGACACTTGAACCTAGCGACCCCAGGGGCCCGACCTGTTATAACCATTACTGAAGGGTAAGATTTAAAGATTTTTAGTTTACTCACGATTATGTTTACTTACGTTTCGCAGAATGATTCAAAGTTCAACGTTATTGTACATGTATTGAAATTTGAATCAGTCGCCGATTTTCCAGGTCATGCCACTAGATTCGCCACGTAGTGAGCAGAGGTGTCTCCCATTAAGCGGTTCAAAGTGCCCCGTATTGTCTCCGTAGTGTTTGGTGAAATGTCCGACGAGACCCACGTGTTGCGCAGTGGCAACAGCAGCAGCAGCGGCGGCAGTGGGAGTGGCAGCCGCCGAGCCGCGGGAGCCAGTTCCGGCCGCAGCCGGGGTGGGCGTGGTCGCCGCCCGCGCCGGCGGGGGCGGCGGCGCGGCCGAAGGCGGGCGGAGAGGCAGGGGCGGCGGGGAGCCCTCGCTGCGGAGTGACCATCGAGGTGCCGCGCATCATCAGCGGCAAGCAGGCCCTGCGCGGGGAGTTCCCCTGGCAGGCGGCGCTCGTCTACGAACGCAGTGAGTGCACTACGCTTACGGCCCCCGCTTGCACAATGTAGTACTCGCATAAAGGCGGCTCCGCACATTGGCATTCGGCGAATCCCGATTAACCGCTCGCCGAATCCTGAGTAGTGTGGACGAGTTGCTTGCTATTCGCCGTGCGCCGAACATTCGGTGTGCGCCCTACCCACCGCGTGTCGGTCTTTTGGACACATCAAAAGGGAGCGAACATTCGTCGAATACATCAACTGGACTGGAATGAGTGAGCAGTAGCTTGCTAATCGGCGAATGCCGAATGTGTGGAGCCGCCTTCATAAGGTTTTTCAAGAACTGGGAGTTTGATGCACGACAAAGAAATTTTCTAATGTGAGTTAATTTATTTCTAAAACAGTTTATTATTAAATAAAACTCTTGGTTGAAATTGTTTATATCATTAACTTTTAAATTATTCAATGTATAGCTTTACCAACGCGTACTTTTTCTCAAAAACAATCGCATTTTACATTTGACACTGCAAAACTATTTCTGAAACACAGATAACTAAATGATTGTAATTAAGTTGTGGCATTCCTTATATTTTGTTAGATATTATGTAATGAATACTTATTGATTAAAAGCAGCAAAAAAATGTATGTTTAAAAACCCGGCGAGACGAATCTAAGCAATATTTGAAAAACATCTCACAGGCAACTTATTATCATTGTATACTGCAACAACGTACGAAATTTGAAAATTATACGTTGAATAGATTTTGATCAAATGGTACATTTAACTCACGAAATGAAAGTTTCGGGAAATTGCTTCCAAACATGCAAGAGTCGTTTCTGAAACGTTAATTTCATCAAAACGTATATTTTATTATTTTACCATTATTCCCTGGCAAGCGAAGTGGCTCAGGGCGTAACGCGCTGACTTCGCATTCGGGAGGCCCGAGTTCAGTCCCCGTGCCGGCCAACCTGACCGGGGTTTTCGTAGTTTCCCTCGGTCATCCGCGCGAATGCTGGGATGGTTCTACTGAAAGGCCTCGACCGCGAAACCGGTATCGCATTGAGCTGCTAACTCTCTGTATTCCCGTAATGAAACATTTCTTTGGAGTCCGACAAATGCGAATCAATTAATCAACGGCGAATCAAGATGATTTGGCATTATGTTAGCACACTGCTGTTACAATTAGAAACCATTACTATTTATTCCAGTCGTACAGAAAGAAAGGTGAAAAAGGCTCTTTACACCTCACAATACATTTCATTTGGCTGCCTCTAACGTGAATATCGTTCTACGATACGACATACAAGAATTCTCGAATACTCGACTGGATATCAAACTCGTCTTAAAGTTCTTGTTTGATAATTCTCGAATCTCATTGTAAAATAAGATGTCTTGCTATAACCTATCCGTTATTTACTATTTACTAAAAAAAAATTCGAGAATTATCAAACAAGAACGTTATGACGAGTTTGATATCCAGTCGAGTATTAGAGAATTCTTGTATGTCGTATCGTAGAACGATATTCACGTTAGGGTTATATACTAAATAGTAAATAACGATTAATGCAATGTTGTCTGAAAAACAGTTTCTCTGGAATAACTTGGTTGACGTGCGTTTGCAGACGGGCAGAAGAGCACGTACTGCGGCGGGGCGCTCATCCACCCGCGCTTCGTGCTGACGGCGGCGCACTGCTTCGACCCCAAGGTCATCAAGGGCTACCGCCTGTAAGTCGCCTCCCCGCCACACTCCGGCTGACAGTTGCCTCTCATTACAGACACCGTGGTCAATTCACTTCATGCAGAGTAGTAAAGAGCAAGGCCCTACGACAAACGATTGTTTCCCACGACGAAACTCTGGTAGGTTCAATTTAAGCAGAGAGGTAAAGTTCAATGACCTACGACAATTGTTTCCCACGGCAAACCTCTGGTTGGTTCAATTTACGCAGGGAAGTAAAGTGCAAGGACCAACGACAGTTTTCATGACAAACCTGGGGTAGGTTCAATTTAAACAGGGAAGTAAAGTACAAGGACCTAAGACAAACAATTGTTTCCCATGTCAAACCTCTGGTAGGTTCAATTTAAGCAGAGAAGTAAAGTGCAAGGACCTAAGACAAACAATTGTTTCCCATGGCAAACCTCTGGTAGGTTCAATTTAAGCAGAGAAGTAAAGTGCAAGGGTCTGTGAGACACAATTGTTTCCCCATGACAAACCTCTGATAGGTTCAATTTAAGCAGAGGTAGTAAAGTGTAAGGACCTACGACAAACAATTGTTTCCCCATGACAAACCTCAGGTAGGTTCAATTTAAGCTGTGAGAACCTGTGAGAAGAGTAAGTAGTATGGTTATGTTTGTGGCTATGACAACAAACTCAGTTTATCATTATCACTGAATTGAACGTCGGTTAGCCCGCTAAAGACTTGCATGAATGCCTTCTGCTCTTAGTTTATCTTTCATCTATTTTACATCCTGTGGCACGTGCCCTAGGTTGAGTAGTCTAGACCATATAGTACTAAGACTAACAGAACTTTGATATAATAGTACTAGTATATATGTTACAATAACTTTACATTGTATAAGTTTCAAAAATTAATTCGTAATAAAAAATATTATACGAGTAACCCCGTATGTAACTCAAATTAACATATGTGAATAACCTATTTTGTTTTTACGCAAGGGGATATCTTATTATACATCCATGGGACATTCAAAAGTTTTGGTTTATTCAAGGTAGCTCAAATAGTTCACGAATCCCACAAATTAAATTGTTACATTCAATGGAAGTAGGATGGGTGATGTCAAGTGTAAGTCTTGCCGCTTAGCCAAGTCGCTATTCTTCAATTTTTCTATGGTGGCCGATGACATTAGGTCTTTGTTACACCTCCTGCCTAATACAAAAAGTATCTTTTCAAGAGTGGTAAGCACATTTCTGACGACACGAGCCCCGTTGAGAAGGTCGTGCGCCAATGAATTAAAAATATTCATTTTATAAGGCAGGAGGTGTAATATTGTCCTAATGGAGAGAGCGTAGGCTTCCGCGGCCGGAGTCAGTATTTACTAGGCTGTCCGGGTGACGCCGCGTCCATGGCGAAGGTGCCGACGTTTCGTTCGCCATTCTGCGACCTTCCGCCCTGAGAAAGGTCGCAGAATGGCGACCGAAACGTCGGCACCTTCGCCATGGACGCGGCGTCACCCGGACAGCCTAGTAAATTCTGGCCTAATGGAATGGGTCTCTATACAAAAGTCAAAGTATAAGTATCGTACCCCTTAAATTGTTGCATTCGGTCGAAGCGCGGGTGGCGGGTAGCAAGTCGCCTTGCATTGCCCTGCGCAGCGTGGAGGTGCGTCTGGGGCTGCTCAACCAGAAGACGGTGGACCAGCAGGCGCGGTCGCTGGCGCCGGACAAGCAGATCCCGCACCCCAACTACCGCGGAGGCTACACGGCGCAGCGCGTGCGCAACCAGGACGACATCGCCCTGCTGCGCCTCGCCCAGCCCGCGCCCTACACGGGTGAGCCGCGCGCCGCGCACAGCAACCTGCAGCATTGCCTTTGGCCGATGTGTTCGAAAACTTCGAAGCGTTCGAGAAGTTCGAGGGATAGAAGAGGTTTTAGGAGTCCCAAGGAATAGAGAAGTTCGAGGGGTCCGAGGAGTTTCAAGACATCGAGAGCATCGAAGAGTTCGGGGGTACGAGGATTCGGAAGGGTTCGAGAAGCTCGAGGGGTTGGAGAGGTTCAAAGAGTTCCAAGGAATCGAGAAGTTCGAGGGGTCCGAGGTGTTTCAAGACATCGAGAGCATCGAAGAGTTCGGGGGTACGAGGATTCGGAAGGGTTCGAGAAGCTCGTGGGGTTGGAGAGGTTAGAGGAGTTCCAAGGGATCGAGGAGTTCCAAGGAATCGAGAAGTTCCAGGGGTCCGAGGAGTTCCAAGGAATCGAGAAGTTCCAGGGGTCCGAGGAGTTTCAAGACATCGAGAGCATCGAAGAGTTCGGGGGTACGAGGATTCGGAAGGGTTCGAGAAGCTCGAGGGGTTGGAGAGGTTCGAGGAGTTCCAAGGAATCGAGGAGTTCCAAGGAATCGAGAAGTTCCAGGGGTCCGAGGAGGTCTAGGAGTTTCAGGAAATCGACGGCATCGAAGAGTTCGGGGGGTTCGGGGATTTGGAAGGGTTCGACAAGTTCGAGGGGTTGGAGAGGTTGGAGGAGTTCCAAGAGATCGAAAAGTTCGAGGGACCCGAGGAGGTTTAGTAGTTGCAGGAAATCGAAAGCATCGAAGTGTTCAAGGGGTTCAGGGTTCAAGAGGTCCAAGAGTTCGAAAGGTTCGAGGAATTTGAGAGGTTGGAGAAGTTCGAGGAGTTCGCGGAGTTCCAGGGGTTCAAAAAGTTTAAGGTGTTCGAAGAGTTCGAACGGTTCGAGAAGTTGGAGGGGTTCGAGGAGTGCAGATCGACGAGTTTGAAGAGTTTCAGGAGGCCCAGGTGTTCGAATAGTTCGAGGGGTTCAAGGGTCCAGGAATTCGAAGGGTCCAGGGGTTGAGGAGTACGAGGAGTTCGAGGGGTTCGAGGGATTCCGAGAGTTCAAAGCATTGGAGGTGTTGCAAGAGTTCCGGGTGATTGGAGGAGTTCGATATCTTCGAGGAGTTCGTTTTATTCGATTGATTAGATTTGTTTAACGCTGAAAACAGTAAAGCTCGTATGAAACGTATGAGGAAAAAATATAATTTGTGCACGTTTTCTTCAGCTTTAGAATCCTTACCCCACTTTTTCACTTATACATCGCAGAGTGACGAATAAAAGTAAGCGAGTGGTGAATAAAGGTAGGTGTAATTAGTAACATTCGAAAACTAGACATTTTCGTTTTCTAGTAATACAAAACTTATTTGCATTTCCAAACATAATACAGTTTTGATTTTATAATTCTACTAACAAAATAACAATACCCTCCCCCGACACTACTTCTACGACAACTAGCAAAAAGAGCTCAAGGAAACGATTGCATAGTAAAGCTATATTAATGACCAGAAGCAAAACAAGAGGCCATCCCGGCATTTGTTGACATAATCAAGGGAAACTGGATGCGGAGATCAAGGGAAAATGTGATTGAGATTTGGGTCATTGACCCAGATAGACCCAGATTCAGAATGAGATTATATCCAGTCCAAGGCGAAGAAAAATTAGTACTCGTAACAATTCTTTGACGAGTTACATTTTATCTAACAACGAATATTATATTGGAATTATTGCAGAATTATGGATGAAATTCATTTATTCGCTAAATTTTATTGAAAACCGCAAGTTATTCATTAAATGATAGAACTCGCATATAAAACAATTCACTGTAAATACACAGAAATGTTTTATATATTTCATTAACTGTTCAGTTGCCAATTAATTTCTTAAAACGTGGGCATTCCTATTCACAAACTCTCGTAAAAACCTTTGGCATCCAACCCTTCAAATTTGGGACTTTAAATATTTACAGTATAACTCAAATAATCTGAACCTTCAATTTTACGATCTGATTTGGGGAGGAAATAAATTCAAAGAACCTTCGTAACTAATTTAATTTACGTTTTTTTTAATACTTACATTTTCTGTAACCATTAATTTAGTTCGTTTGACTTAATTCCATAAATTTAAGTTACTTTTTCTCCATTTGAAGTCGTTTTCACTTAACTTCTTAGGTTAATCCAACTATCAGAATTTCCTCGTCACCAAACCAGTTCGATGTCCGATCAGTTTCGATAATTGGATATTTTCAGAGTTCAGAGGGTGGGAGAGGGGCGATTCGTAAGGATAACAAAAATCTTCCTGTTTCAGAGTTCATCCGACCCGTGTGTCTGCCCGACAGTAAAGGCAACCGGCTCAGGGCCAACGGGATTTCGTCCCCTATGGTAGTAGCAGGATGGGGACTCACCGAAAGAGGTAAGTGAAACTGCAATTGGCAACACTGGCGTTGGTGGGTTTCTCAGGTGTAAGGGGTCGTCCATAAATTACGTAACGCAAATTTGGAATATTTTCAATACCTCCTCTCTCTCTTGTAACGCACCCGTAACACGCGCTTGAACTCCCCCCCCCTAAATAATTACGTAACACTTGCGACAACACTCCCCTTGTAACTGCAAGAAAGGAAAATAAATTAGAGCACAGTAAAAAAATTGTATTCATTTTATTTGAGTGTATTAAAATTTACGATCATTAAATTCGGAATTAGTTGTCGATGCTGACTGCGCCTAACAACAAAACTGGGGGAAATTTTGAGTAAAGGGAGGACGCACAGGCGAGAACATTCCCATCACAAGCCATGCACGCTCCGCCCGCGCCGTTCTGGAAGACGCATGGGCGAAAGTCTACTGCGCCAATTTAATTGCATTCTACAAAAAACTACAGATCAGTTTTGAATATTTTCATCGTAATCTTACATATTAAATAACAAATTAATGAAAAACATTTCTATTATTGTAACAATAATCTAAAAACTAATTTTAATCTAATCAATCGAATAAAACGAACTTTATTTTTAAAACAAATTAATTATATAATACTTTAAAGTTTAATATAACACTCAAAAAGGGAGTATTTCAACAAATGTTAAAAAATGTAAAAATAATTTCAATTTTACCTGGAATACCTCCTGTCTCCATGTAACGCTGCCTCAAACCCAGTCCTCCGGTCTTTAGCGATACGTAATTTATGGACGACTCTAAGGATAGCCCTACAATTATCCGCGAACGGGAACGCGCAATGACGCATGAAGAAATCTGAAAGACCGATGGCACGCCGGCATTGATCACAACAATACGAGAACGCAAAGCAGCGCAAAACTGATGTCACTCCTGTGCCTCTGACAGGGAGGTTCTGGGGTTCGAATCCCGACGGCACTACCTTGCCAGCTAGGTAGAGTTCCTTCGCTGCCTGGAGGAAGTTCTATCGGCCGGCTGTTCTGTTTTTCGTGTTTTTTTTTTTCGATAAATACAGAACGAACACCGAAGCAGTACACTAACAAACGGAGCTGAAACCGCGCGCTATCTTACTTCCCATTCCTTGGCCAATCCTACACCTTATACACACACACACGCTAGCATGCGCTATTCTACCATCCATGCCGGGAGACCGGTCTGGAGCTTAGAGCTTGTCCCGGCTGGGACCGTGCCCCGCTTGTCGGAGATACATGATCCGGGAAAACCCCGCTAGTCGTCGCCGGATCTCGGTATTCATCGGAAATAATCACCCCGCCACATCCCGAGCAAAAACCTTTACTACATGCACGGGACTAATGACCTTAGAAGTTGACGCGCCCGAAATCTCTCGTAATCAATCAGTCAAATGCGAAAACAGAAAGCAATCCACCCCTACTTGCCTGATGTTGTCGTTGCAGGCGTGTTCAGCGACAACCTGCTGTTCGCGCGCGTGCCGCCGGTCGACCCCGCGACGTGCGCGCAGAAGCTCAACATCAAGGTGCCGGCCACGCAGCTGTGCGCCGGCGGGAACGTCACAGACACGTGCAACGGAGACAGCGGCGGCCCGCTGGTGCAGGCCAACGAGAACGACGCCGGCGACATGGTGTTCGAGGTGGTGGCGCTGGTGTCCTTCGGGCCGGTCGTCTGCGGCACGCCCGGCCTGCCCGCCGGCTACACCCGCGTCGCGCCGTACCGCGCGTGGATCGACCAGACCATTCGCGAGCAGGGTTGAGCCCCTCCGCCAAACTCTGGGTAGACCGTACAGGACATTTTCAACCTACTCGGACTTTTCACGGGAGACAACTGGTCACTAGCGAACCTAGTGACGTGATCTGGAAAATCGACTACTGATTCAAATTTCAATACATGTACAATAACTTTCGAATCACTCGTAACTGCGAAACGTAAGTCAACATAATCGGAAGAAAGCTAAAAAATCTTTCAAACGTATACACTTCGTGTTTAATATCACAATGGTAATGACAGGTCGGACCACAAGGGTCGCTGTCTCCCGTTCATTCGCCGAGTGTCATGCATTGTCTCTGGAGTACTTGCTTCCGCTCTTGTTCGTTTCGAAGTTCAACAACAACGTACTTGCCCGTTCGCTCTCAGGAAAATTATTATAAAAACAAATACATAACTGAACGGCAAAAACCGCGGTCTTTTGATTAAAAAATATTTTAATCGTTAAAAAAACAGTATGTGGTGTATGCACGTGCTGCTTCTTGAGCTCCTGCATAGAATATCTGCAAGTTTGAATCTCTCATGGGCAGAGATGTTTTACCCTTCCGTGGTTCCATAATGGACAATCAATAATGGACATTGTAACACATTTTGATCTGTCAGCTTTGCATATGAGCTTGTGGGTAGTGACTTATTGGCTTACTGGCAGTGGAACAGGAGCAATTCCTTAAGTGCCTGTGTCCCCGCTACCTGGACACAGCAAACCATTTGCAACAATAATTCAAAAGCCTTCCCCTCTCATGCGTCTTAAAATTAAACGATTTTCCAGTTTACGCTTAGAAAAATCTTAATGTAAACAACTCCCAGATACATCCACAGACTACCCGGGTCTCTACGAGTAAAGCGAAAGGACTGTAGCGGTTTCGGTCAGAAAGACTGTGTTTCGGTTTAGAATACTGTTTGAGAATGGATCATGTATTACCCTCCTGTTATGACAAGGTGTGCACTTCCCTCTTCATGCAACGCCTTTCGAACCTCTCTTTCCAGGCGTGTTGGGTGAGTAGAAGCATGGGTGTTGTAACTTGATAGTGGAGTAGCACCTCAACTACGGATGGCAAAAAAACATATGTGTTTTTGAAACATCGATTATTTGTGTTCGGTGTTTTCTTCACTTCGATGTATTTTTTAAGGAGCATCAATGTTTTCAAAAAAATTACCTTGATATATTGTAAATAAAATTTCAAGTAACTAGTTTTTTGTGAATTGCTTAAAACCAAGAGCCACTGATATCTATCTCTGTTGTCGATGCCCAGATGGAGAGATTTCTTTATGGATACTTTTGGTGGTTTGTCCACAATGTCTCACTTTATAATTATTTTAACAAAATGTCTATTATGTTTTCTTAAGCATATATAAAGGGCAAAGATCTTCTTCACTTTCGATAAATATTATTTATAACATTTTTTACGTTATCAAAGAATAAAATATAACTCATTGAAGTACAATAGTTAACATGAAAATGAGATGAGAAAATACCACCTGTTTTATCATTTTTAAAACATCGATGTTTTCATCTACATCGAAAAGATGTTGGTGATGTATCGATGTTTGGATACAATTTGCCATCTAACCTCGCCAGCGACATACTAAAGGTTCCTGTATCCTCACCACGTGACTGAGCACCCTCTTGCCAGTTTGCTCTTAGTAAAATCCTCATGTAAATAAAAGTTTCCTAAATAGAACGCAATCTTAGAAAGACTGCGAGTTCGAATCTCGCTTGAAAAGAGATGTTTACCTTTGGGTTATGACTCCTACTGACAATGTACCACGTCTCCTAAACTCGCTCCTTCTTTCCGGGTTTGCACTACACTAACAAATGACGGGAGACCAATCGGGTGGTCAGAGCTTGTTCCGGCTGGGACTGTGCAACGCTGGTGGGAGATACCTGGTTGGGGAAAATCCCTGCAAGCCGACGGTTGGTCAGCGTCAGGTCTCACCAGCCAACAGGAGATCACCGTCACCTCCCGCGATAAAAAAACATGCTCTACACTTATGGGATGATCTTAGCAGTTGGCGCACCCGGAATCACAAACTACTATAACAATTTAATAGCTTCCATTATTATGACTATAATCGATGCAGGAAGCAACATGTGTTTAAAATTTCTCAGTTCTTTCTATTAACATATTGATCTTCCGTTTTTAAATGATTGGTTTTTGATTGTTTTACATGATTGGTAGTATGGTAGTAAGGGAGGATTTCGCCAATCAAGAAGCAAGGTGCAGCACAAAAAATTGTTTCTTTACGTCAAGAGTTTTATAAGAGACAACGGATAAGTCTTAGTCGTAGATTATGTAATATGTAACGATATAAACATTGCTAGAGCTTTGAAGTTGCTAATTCACGGGTTACAAAATTTTGGATTAATTTCAAAATAATCTCCCACCCCTTCCCTAACACTAATGCTCTTTTCCCGTCGTTCTTTCATCTTCGTTATTTCCGTTGTTGTCAGGTTTCTATTGTATAATTAAAATTATGTAAAACATTAACAGTAATTAATTTATATTTTGTACCATACCTCAGTTTTGTATTAATTATAAGATTACTTAAACTGCAGCCGAGCACAAGTAATTGCTCATTTGGATGCATCTGCTGTGTGTTTACTTATGTAAAAATGAATAAAGTTTATTATTATTATTATTATTATTATTATTATTATTTCCACTATGATTGTACAAACTGAACCCCTACGATTCCAACGCACAAAAGAAATAATTGAAAAACAATAAAATCAATTCATATTTTAAAAACAATTATTTAATAGATAATTATATTTTTTCTCATTTTAATTACAGAAAATAGTTACTGCAGAAAATCTGTACATACTCGTATGTACTATACGAAAAATAAACGAATATTGTTTCACGTCGTTCTTATTCTTCGATAAAGTCTGAGGTTTACAAATTCTGAAAAGGAAAAAAAAAGCAATCATTCTTCTTTATGAACACAGAATTAAACTGGATTCCGAAAATGTAATTAAAATGTTTATTTACATTATAGTTTCTGAGTAAGCTATTTGTTGCACACTTTTTCTTCACGATTAACTAAGTACGCGTAGACGAGATTTGCCCGTTATTCATATTTAAAAGCCTGCATTTAAATGCAAAAATATATTGTTACACGGAAATTATCCATTAAATAAAAATGTGCAATGGTCTTAAAAGAAACTACAAATGACGCATCTACAACTGTGTCTGAATTTTCCATAGAAGTACCCATCTCTTTTCGAAAGTGTAGAGGTATTAATCACACTTTCTGCATTTCCATCCTCCTTTGCTACTCGTATTTCTTCTAATATTTCAATTTCCCTTCTTATACTTCATTATTTCGTGTATGTACTTCATCTTCTTATTCGAATCATCTTCACTTTCAACAGTAAAATCACCTCCACTTCACTGTGAATACACTAGCGAATTTCCATTATCGACTGATTAAGTGTTCCATCGAGAATAGGATCCTTGGGAAACACCAACGAGCTAGAATATACTACATAGAGCCACTGACCTTACGTTTTCAGCTCTCTTGGTCGACGCTATGTTTTTGCAGTAAAAACATGAGAGGTGCCTGATGGTGGAATGTTGTTTATATCAGGTATTATTTCTATATTGTTATCTCTTCGTTTATCTGTATTAAAATTATATTAGTGGTTAGAATAATAATATTCATAATGCCTTTAGTATGTTTGGCATATAACTGTAAAATAGAAGGCATCAAACCACAAATATATCATTTTTCAAGTTTGCTGCCTTATTTGGGATCTGTTTGTTTGCTTCCTATTGCAATAACATTCACTTTCAGGCTTCATGCTAAATACAATAACATTTCAACAGCTTCCGTTTTTATGACAATAACCGAGGCAGGAAGTGCTTTTAAAGTTTTTCAATTAGTTTTTTTTCCGTTTGTGATTTCGTTTTTAAATAATTGGTTAATACACTATATGATCCAAAGTATCCGGGCACGTGGCTGAAAACGACTTGGCACCCTCCATCGGTAATGCTGGAATTCAATAGAGTGTTGGCCCACTCTTAGCCTTGATGTCAGCTTCCACTCTCGCAGGCATACTTTCAATCAGTTGCTGGAAGTTTTTTTGGGGGGATGACAGCCTATTCTTCACGGAATGCTGGACTGAGTGGAGATATCGATGTAGGTCGGTGAGGCCCTGGCATGAAGTGGGTGTTTCAAAACATCCGAAAGGTGTTCGATAGGATTCACGTCAGGACTCTGTGCAGGCATTTTCATTACAGGGATGTGATTGTCGTGTAACCACTCCGCCACAAGCCATGCAGTATGAACAGATGCTAGATCGTGTTGGAAGATGCAATCGCCATCCCAGAATTGCACTTCAACAGTGGGAGGCAAGAAAATGTTTAAAGCATCAACGTAGGCTTGTGCCTGATAGTGCCACACAAAACAACAAGGGGTGCAAGCCCCCTCCATGAAAAACACGACCACACCACAACACCATTTTGTCTCAGAAACCATACGTCACCAGTCAGGGGTTAAACAATCATGCAATTTAGTTTAGTACAGGGCTCTAATTGCTTTCTAAACGAAAATCCATGGCGTTTTCAATACAAAGATAGATATCTTTGGGTTGCTGATGACACCACGATAGCCCAGCAGTTTTCACTTGTTCGTAACAGCCACATTCTTCCCTTTAGGCGGCTCCACACATACAGCATCCGGCGAATCCCGAGCAACCGCACGCCGAATGCCGAGTAGTGTGGACGGGTTGCTTGCGATTCGCCGAGCGCCGAACATTCGGCATTCACCCTACCCACAGCGCGCCAGTCTTTAGAACACACCAAAGAGATCGAACATTCGCCGTCGCATCAGCTGTTCGGGATTGGACGAGCTGCTCGGCGAATGCCGAATGTGTGGAGCCGCCTTTAAGAAGGGGTCCGAACAAAGGCCTAGCATGTGAAGAGGGAGTAGAGCCTTCCAGTTCAGTTCAGAAGCCTCTTTTATGTAGTAGATGTACGCAGTGTTACCACGAGCAGAAACACGGACCTCGCGTAAGCCTTCTTGTATTGCAGATGACATAATGCCAGTGACGTATCGTCCGAGCCCGCAAGGTTCACAGTGCGGGCGGGCCCAAATAAAAGAGGACCTAGTTTTGCATAATAATTGTAACTTCACTCGCTGCACTCAAGATGCATGCGATTGCGATTGCGATTTCTCTTTCTCTCTTTCTCTTTTTCTCTCTTTCTTTTTCTCTTTCTCTCTCTCTCTCTCTCTCTCTCTCTCTCTCTATATATATATATATATATATATATATATATATATATATATATATATATATATATATGAGTGTGTGTGACACTCGTCATACACGATTGTAAGCACTCGCACTCGTTACGCTACTGCTAAATGCTGTAGATGAGTTCAGCTGAACCCCTGTTATTTACACGTCAGTCCGGGATAAGAGATGGTGTGGTTAGACAATAATGTTTATCCACTTTGGTTAGGCAATGTGAAACATTATGCTATTGTAATCAGTTTCGTAATGAAGTACTTTACCGCTCTAGTGTGGTAATGAACTTCATTACTACACTAGTGCGGTAATGGCATACGAGTAGGGTTATTCAGAGACGAGCATTTTTCCATGGTCTACTATTGAGAATAACAATAATTATTCAAATAATTTATTATGAAAATAACTTCAGCATAGAAAAGTGGGTTCAAAGACTACTCGGTTTTTCCTTTTCTAACTTTCCGGAAAAGGAAGCCATTAAAACTTTTTTTGATATGCAATGAACGTTTTTGTTTTCACCCAATTTCACCCATTTGTGTCGCCACTTAAAGGGGGAAAATGTGAATACTAAATGAAAATTTTTAACTTAAATCTAACAAATTTTTACAAAGTGGATAAAACGTTGTACGATATTCGTGTCGTAACATCTGATTATAACACTAACATCGTAAATAACTATTCCGGTGGTTTTAGCGGCGTGGGAGGCATTCGAAACTTTTTACCATTTAATGGAACAGACATCGAGGTGGGGTCAAGAAATACCATGTAAAGGTACAGGGCCTAGTGATGCCTACGAGATGTTTGGTGTGCGAAGGTGTTCTCTGCTATCTCAAAGAGGAGCGGCAGATACTATCGAGAGTCGCCCTGGTTGTTTGCATATTTGTATACAATCATTTAGATTAAATATATTTAATTATTTTCTTATATTTGTTTGTTTGTCTAGGAAAGTACAACCTTTTACTCTCCTTAAAATTTTCATCTCTGTAGCTTGAATATTCATTTTTTCTTTTTTAGAGCGAATACAATTTTCATTCTCATACAGGACCACTGGTGTTGCCATTGTTTTATAAACTTTTAACATAGTGTCTTTTCTAGTCTTCTTTCTTAATGTTCTATGTAGCTTGCCGCCTTGGAACTTATGCAATTTATTTTTTATATCTTTTCTTCGGTCGTAACTTATATTCGTATCACATCCCAGATAATTGAAATGTGATATTTGTTCTATTGTTTGGTTTTTCCAGGCATATCTTTGTTCGAATTGGATAGACTCCTTTAAAAGCCATGACCTTCGTTTTTTGTTTTGATATTTTCATGTTATAATTTTTACACTTAGATTTAATTGATGAAGTGCCATTTGGAGATCATTTTCCTTTTCATACATAATAACTTGGTCATCAGCAAATAGCAGAGCATTGATATAATTATGTCCGTTCAATCTGATCCCTTGTTTTACTATTAATTTCCATTTTCTAAGAATATTGTCTATATAAATGTTAAATAATATTGGGGAAAGGCTGCAACCTTCTTTTAATCCTTGGTTAGTTTTTAATGGTTGTGAATTTATTTTTATTTGGATTTTTGTATTTTTATATAAACTTTTAACTATGTTTATTAAATGTTTTGGAAAGCCTCTTTGATCCATTATGGCCCATAATCTTCTCCTGTTTATACAGTCGAAGACTTTTTCGAAATCAATGAATGCAATGTTCATGTCTAACTTAAACTCTCTTATTTTCTCTACTATTAGGTTCAATATAGAAACATTATATGTGCAGGATCTTCCCTTTCTGAAGCCATTTTGTTCTTCTAACAATATAACTTCAGCCATCGTCTTAATCCTCTATTGGATCATTTTACTGTAGATTTTGTGTGTTGTGTTTAAGAAGCTAATACCTCTATAATTTTCTCAGTTACTTCGATCCCCCCTTTTAAACACAGATATTATTAGGGCTGTTTGCCATTCTTCTGGTATCGTACTTCTTAGCCAACATTGATTGTATAGATGTAACAGTCTTAAATGGAGAAAAATGCGTCCATATTTTAGTAATTCTATGTTTATATTGTCTGTACCAGTAGCTTTTCTACATTTCATTTCTTTTAATACTAGTAATAATTCTTCTATTGTTAGTGGATCAATATTATCTTTCTTTTGTTCTTCATGTTCTTCCAGTGGGTTGAACCATAGATTCTTATAGTGTTGTAGCTATTTCTCTTCATCTATAACTATCAATTGAATGGTATCTTTATCTTTTTGATTGAGTTGTCTCATTACTTTATAGGCTAGTACTTGCTTCCCATGAATATCACTTTCTATTCTATTTATGAAGTGATCCCATGCCTCTTGATGTACTATACG